GTTAAAATGACATTAACGCCATAACGGGGCAAATCTCTGTTAACGAGTTACCACGGATTGCCCCGTGCATGGGGCTTGACAGCGTCAACACCTTAACAAGCTAACTGTGCTAACGCACTAGTTCCCACAAATTGAGCATTGCGTGGCACATCCGACATACTGTTTTACTTTTGTCCATGACGCGCTTACCTTCAGGGTCATACTTCACATAAAAACCAAAATAGTTCCAAACGCCAGATCTCAATGAGGGTGGGGGAGGTTCAATTTGCCATGTTGCAAGGAGAGCTTAACTTCTGTCTCGCTAGCTTGCCCTGCGCTCAGTGAATCTGCGTTCAACTACTCCGCCTAGGCTGCACTGTCGAGCGCAGATTCATTGAGCGCTCAACACAGACAGCATCGTCAGAAGGAAAGTTGATAAAATAAATTAAAAATTTTGTATTGTTCATACATATGCGTACCGAACCGAAAGCACTGTATCGAACGGTTCAATATCGATACGAGTATCGTTGCACCCCTAATATAGATAGATAGATAGATAAAGACATATATGTACTACATTAAATACCATGCTCCAGCTGTAGCCTCCCACAAGATAAATGCTGTCATCCAAAACGGCACAGCCTGGACCGCTGCGACCCTCCAGGATGGGTGTCTGGAGGATATTCCACTGGTCAGCTTTTGGGTCGTAACACTCAACCAACATTACATCTAGATGGGAGAAACCTACATGACAGAGATAAGATAAGATAAGATAAGATAAGATAAGATACCCTGTCATCGTAGGTTTAGGTTACAGTAGAGGTAGGGTGAAAAAGGTGTGCAGATGTTAGAAATAAAAGGCAAGTGTTTATTTTTCCCAAAAGTTAAACAAAATCTAAAAGGAACAGAAACCCAAAGAAAAGCACAAATCCACAGTGACACAGAGGGCAGGACAGGTGGTGAACATGGGAGCATAACTTATTCCACGCCCTTAAGGACTTTCTATCTATCACACAGAATCACAATCCAATGGATTCATCAGGTGCAAGTGTCTTGCCCAAAGACACTCTGGCACGCAGACTGCAGGAGCCGGAGATTAAACAACCAACCATTTGATTAAAAGACAACCCACTCCACCTCCTGAGCCACAATCACCCCGATCCAACTAGCAATCCAACAAAGAAAGAAAACAATATATCAAAGAAATACAGGAAATAACCCAAAAGACAAATAACTAACGCCAACACAAGAAGACTCACACTGAATGTGATAACAGAGGCAGAGGAACACAGAAGGCACTCAACACAAGACAGCAGGAAGCAAAGACAGGCAGCTACGGTGGCCGCTTTAGGACAAACATGTTTTAGACAGGAGAGATCAAAAACATTAAATTTAGACTATACCCCATAACAGCTGTGGCTGGCCACCATGTTTGTATTACCAGTTTTGCACACACTATATTTTAATACATTTTAATAATATCAATACTTACATTAAATGTTTTGGGATATTTTAGTTACCATTCACCCAGCTAGCAAAGTAATTCTTTTAGCTATCTGGGTAGGCTATCAGTCTGATATTAACCTTGACTGTAAAGCTTTGTGAAAGGAGTCCGATACAAGCCGATGAGTCAGTGAAGCTCACTTTTGACCGAAGACAGTGATTGTGAGGTGAGCTGCTGAGGATATCCTGGACTGCTCTTGTCAGTAAGTTCTGTTTTTTGCCGCTATTAGCTGCCATTAGCCTCTGTTACCCACTGTTAGCAGCTGTCAAGTGAAATTGTCTTTGAAATTTGTGTAACATTGCTCTATACTTAGCGGATTCAGTTGAATTAAACTGAATTTTAAGTTTTAGAATCGCATGTCTAATCTGTAGGCAGTAAATAATTGCGACAATATCAGGAATAAATGCATTCAAGATGGCGAAGCAACATGGCGGATTCCACAAACTGGTGCTGGCTCCTGTGTACTTCTAAGAGATTATTTTCTAAGTTTCTTAAAATGCATGAGTTTGTTGTATTAATTAATTACTAATCTATCTAATTGGTGTGTAATAATAATGTTGTACTCATAATCTAATTTATGAGTATACCATTATTTTTTTATTAAATGAACTAAAAAAACTCAGTACCCTTAACAATAGCATAAAACCTGAACTCACCATCACATCACAAAAAGAAAACTAGACCGAAAACGCTAAAGTCAAACATTCCTGTGGACCAATCAGGTTTCAGACAGTTTTGGTTTCATGTGCTTGCGCTACAGTACCACTGTAAATGAAATCCACACAAACCACCACGTGAATGCACTGACACAAGGCTGGTTAACAACATGACGGCAGATGTGTGCCATATTGAAACGACCCCATTGTGCTCTTACAGGAATCACCGCTGAAAAAATATTATTTCACTAAAAAGATATGAATTTTAAAGAAAAAAAGAGCACGCTCTATATCCTACGAAATGAGAGAAATCTTTTCTTATTTTTTCCTGCTGGGGAGATGGTCCAGTGTAACTCCTTTCCTCCTTTTTCTTGAAACTATTCATTCAGTCAATTCATTCTATCCTTCACTTAGCCTATCCCAGCTGACCCAAAAAAAAAATGAATGACTCCTAAAGCCTGTCAATACAACAGTGAGCATAACTAAGGCAAACAGAACTATAATAATCTTTTTTTTAAAAACGTTAATATAGTTAAAGTTTTGATTTAAAGCGACGCCTTGACAAAAAGCTAATTTTATTACAGTCCCTCACTATGTGGCACTATATGGCATTACGTTCTTTCCTTCACTAAAGGATGGTTCAGTTTATCCTGTGCTAAAGGAGGTAATAAAGGAAGCTTTGAAGCATTTATATTTAGTATTTAAAGAATTTGCGCAATTTGATATTTGACCACAGCCGTTCTCTTTCTCAACATAATGCTTTAGGCGTTAGGCTTTATTTTGCTTCTCATGGTTTGAATCTTTATTCTGTTCTCGCCAGTGTGTCCAGTATGTTCCTTGTGTCCAGTTGATGGGTTTCCCCTTTAGTTAAACTTTTGCAGACATGTTACTTTTTTTTTTTGTCTATTTGCTGATAGAGACAAATTTTTGTTGTTCCTCCATCTGCCGCATTCGGTTCCACCTCCCTCACAGTTTCACTACATCTCAAGGTTTCTTCCTTCACCACCAACTCACAGACACAAACCAGCAGGACAGCCATCGATGTGCACAGATTCGCTCCTACGGTGAGCGTGAGGAAACACGAGTTTGGATATGGACACAGTCATACTCAGAGGCACGTGCAGGTTTTTTATGAGCTGAATTTGCAGCAATGAAGAGCCAACTGAACACATCTGTTTAACAGTGTTCTAACGAAAGAGCGTAGCTAAAGAGAGGATTCAAAGAGAGACAAGCTGAGCTTGTCATAATTCCCATGACCACATTCAGTTTTCCTGAACAAATGCAAATGAACAGCACACGTTTTTGTTCTTTTTCACATTTTGTACTATGAATACTAAAGAGTGCGAGAAATGGAGGCTACAGTGTTGCACAGGGTAATTAAGGTCACTGCCTGCTCACAATGGCAACATGATTTTCACACGTACTTTTCAAAAAAGTATCAATCTTGACCTGCTTTCTGTTCGTTGTCTGAAAAGCTCGAGTGCTTACCTTTCAAATGGTTTCCACCAATAGCATACAGGCGGTCATTCATCCCAGCCAGAGCATGAATGGCACGCTTTGTGTTCATATCTTGTTTCCTCGCCCACACATCCATTATAGGGTCGTAGCAGTAAAGCCAGGAGACATACTCGCCATTGTGCACGCCTCCTGCAGCAGGTAAACACAGCAGTGTGTCATTAATACTCTGTGGAGCTACAGCACGCGGCACGTGGACATACTGGATCCAAATGTAGTACTATCCCCAGATATACAGTAAATAACTGGAAAAGAAAAACGTTTTTGGCTCTTCAAGAAAACTTTGGTTAGAGTCAGTTTGTAAAAGAGGAGGGTTTCACTTCCGGATTTTCCTGCAGGGAGGTGATGAGTGGTTCACTGACGTATCACTAAAATCTAATATATGACTTTCTGGTGTCAGCAAGTAGAAGAATTATACAAACCAAAGTTATATTGAAATATATCTAATAAAAAGCATTACAAATTTGAACTATTTCTGTGGCCATTTCTTTGAAGAAGAACTGATGTATACATTCAAGCCTCTTTACAGGGCTTCAGAAACTCTGCTACTTACATGAACATATCTCTTGAGGGAGTCTGAGGTAATATTGGATGGTAATCTGGGGCTGTGCTGTTACTAAGAAGAGGTTCACTCTCTCTTTCTCTCTCTCTTTTTTAAACTCAAGTCTACTTTAGCTGTTATAAGCTCACCTCAAGCTCCAACTGAACTGCTGGCAGTTTTGACAAAGATGAACAATCAGTCCTGATGCATTGATTTTAATCATTTTTGTGGAGTGGAGTTGGTTTTTCTTTGTGGTGTAACTAAATGGATGTGTTAACCTCTCTGTGCCATAAACACAATGTGTCTTTTTGTACAGTTCCCTCCATGTAGCGCCCCTTTTTGCATAATAATAAGGCGTAATAATAATAATACATGCGACTCGTGTACAGCTCCTGTAACTGACCTGATATGTAGATCTTGCCATTGTGCACCGCTCCTGCATGGGCAGCCAGAGGCTGTGGCAGAGACGACACGTAGTTCCACTCATTTGTCTCCAGGTTGTAGGATTCCACGCTGGAGAGGTAGCCCGCCTCGTTCCTGCCACCAATCACGTACAGGTGCTTATCCAGGCGACAGGCAAAGAAGCTGGCTCTCCTGAGGAGGACGCATTAACCAGACAACATCATTAAACCTATGATGAGAATCACTACTGTTGTTTTTTGTTTTTTTCCAGCTTCTGTCTAAGGTGCAAATCATTCTTAAAAAAACAAAAAAAACATCATAAGACGAGAGATAAGTTAAGCATGTACATGCTTCTAGGCTGTGAGCATCTGTTTTCATGCCTGTGTAATGGGCTTGCTTACTTCTGCATGATGTAATACCTTGTAAAAGGATTTTGAACCAAAAAAACAGCACATAGGTCTGTTCACAGCCCAATGAGCATTACTTTATTCTTCTGTTGGCTGGTTTTGTACACCTAGGTAAGAGTAGTAGCATTTTTTTTTTATCTTATGTGGATGTTTATATTTTTAGGTTTTCTAAACACCATTTCCCAAGAGAACTACACATCTGCTATCACAGCTGAACAGAAGACTTGTGAAGTTGTTGGATCTCACAAATTACAACTAGAATCCAAGTAGCATCTTCATGAATGCCAAAACTTGTGAACTTCACTAAGGTCATAAAGGTTTCCGTTTCTTATTAGGTGATGCAATGAGTGGTGAGATTCTAAGAAATATACAAAACACGGTAATGAGAGACGGATGAGAGAAAATGGGTTACTGAAGCTGAGTAAACAGAAGCTAGTACTGATGTCAACATTTCTGAGAGGACAAAAAAAAAGGCTCACCTCTCCTGCATTGGAGGCAACTGTATCCAACTGTTGAATCTGGGATCGTAGCGGCTGACAAAATTAGTGCTGTGCTTTCCTGCAAAACAGAACAGTAGAATACAAATAACTTAGCTCAAAATAAAGCTTCTTTTTGTACAGTTTAGACATGCTAATGTAATGATCAGTTCTTATTGGCCACATCTTTTCTAATGTTGTTTGTTGTGTACCAATAAAATTCACAAATGCAACTCTCCCCAGTCTTCATTAATCACCACCCACACGTGATGATTTGTCTTTTTGCTGCTGTTTGAGCTAACAAGAGCTGACTGAAGTCATGTTTTCTAAGCACAGAGAGATCACCTCTTGGTAATGTTGTATTCAAAAGACTGCAAATCATCTCTCATGATGTGCATTTGTAGTAAGCTGATTCCTACTCTCAAAACTGAATAAACAACTAATTTCACTAAGTGCAGTGTACATCTGCCTGGCTGTTGTATTACTGTGATAGCTGGTGAAAGAACAAAAAGGCAGAGTAAGAATCTTTGATCATTTACAGTCTTTGTTTCTTACTATGGCACTGTGTTGCCACCTTTTTGCAAAAAGCCCTCTTAACACTTCTACATCGCAAATATTTCATCATAAACAACAGTAATTTTTCTGTGCCAATTATTGACAAGTGTTGATTGGAGTGTTGTTTGTCCACTCAGAGCTGATCTGGCTGCAGGATGAGTGTTTCAAACCATCTGAAAGTGTTACATTAACTTGATGGGCTTGAACTTACATAAACTCCAGTTTAAGTGAACATGAAAAATTTGCTGTGTGAAATCAGTGGAAAGCAGCGACTGTACCATTGGGGTTCCACTGGTCCTCTCCGCCTAGCAGCAGCAGGAAGTTCTCCACCTCCACCACGCAGTGATGTGCGCTGTTGTAAGGCATTACTAGGTGACAGACAAAAAGTCAAAAAGTCAGTTTTAAAAACATGTGGAGAGAAATTTGTATATAAACAGTACCCTGTGAGTGTGCCCTGGCTGTTATAGGTGTACTGTGCTGGTGGTTTCAAAAATCCACTGTGGTTAGCAATTACTTTGTATCATTAAATATGAGAATTAAAAACAGGCCAATACTTTTCTGTTCAGGACACATTGCAGTCTAGAAAGCACTAACCATAAGTCTCACATTTAATAAAACTGTCAGGTCATTTAAAATAAGAACCATGTAACAGTAAAAGTTATGCCATTGAACCACGAACAAAAAAAGCCACTCTTTGTAGCATCTGGATAACTTTTTAACCTCTTTTGTCTCAAAATCATATAGAAAATAGATTGACGTGCAACTTTTGTTTTTTAATCAGAATCAACACAGCCATCAATTGACTGGCGACCTGTACAAGCTGTACACCGCTTCTTGAACAGGAACAGCTGGGATAGGCTCCAGCCCAAACACAACCCTCAATTTGATCAACACATCTGGTGTAACTCTGTTTGCGCTCTTATACTCAAAGGGGGAAAGTAAATGGCATCTACACTCTCCTTAAATAAATTCAATTAATTCTTAAATGTTTCCACCACACCCACAGGTCAAGCCTTACTACCAATTACTGTCCGAGACACTGACCAAAGAGGTTTATTGAACATCTAAGAAGTATTATGTTAACTTTTGAATAGGAAATAATGAAAGTGCTAAATGTTCTGTAATTTGACAGGAGTGGTCAGAGTAAATTTCACACAGACTGTTTGTTCTTTGTTTGGAGCAAGATACAAAAAACACAAACAGAAGTTTAAAAAAAAGTCTGGATGGAGAGCTGGTGAGCAAAGAAAGTTGCACTGGATTACTTTCTATAAACTTGCGATTACAGACAGACTAATATATGATTTTACGATTGATACCAATACTGATATTTAGTGATTTTAAAAATCCAATATACTGGTATATTGACCGGCATTTTTTTTCAGACATATGAAACCTAAACAGATTTCCCTAACATATTTTTTAGTGTGGGTCTTTATTTACTCTATCATGCTTTGCCCAGCTGTCTTCAGATCAGCTAGTTGTTGTGTTTCTCACTTTCCAAACAGGTGTTGCCCACAGGATGTTTCTCCCTTCTCTTCTTTACCTTTTTCTATAATTTCCATTTATTGGCCATTATAAATGCAACTATTAGGAGAACTGCCAATAGTTAATACTGGTGGATAATACTGACCTGCTCATAAATCAGTCAGGCTTCAGTTGCAGTATAATGCACCGGTTGTGGCGGAGAATGTGCTCTTGCTATTTTCTCTTCACATGAGGCAAAATGTTAAATTATATCATAAAACTCATATATATATATATATATAAATAAATAATCGGAGGTTTTTCTGCTCTTTGTGTTTTGTATTCTCTGGACCATCCAGTCACAGGAATGTGACTTCAGCTATTTCGAATAACGATGCCATAAAAACCTCCAGCACTTTAAAGGACAGGAAAAAAAGTATTTAGTGGTAGTAAACTGAATATCATTGGTTTGGAAATGTGATGGACATTTTTTAACATTCTGTAGATAAAATAATTATTTAGTTGATTGAGAAAGTAATTGACAGATTGCTTAATAATCAGATAATTATTACTTGTAACCTTGCATTTATTTAACTGGATAGGTCACCGATTTCTATTTTGGGAATTCGACTCTTAGAAACTAGCTTAGCAACACTGTCCAATAAGTAAAATGTTGGGTGGATGATACCCCTTGTCGTGTGTTAGCGCAGTATAGCATAAACATCCCAGAGCTGAAGCAGGACCCCTCATGGAGGATTTTCTTTTGTGTATGTTTTCGTGCTCCCTTTCTCTCCTTCATCTTCTTTTGCTAAAGTGACCCCATTGAGATGTAGAGAAATGGTCTTAGGTGACAGTCATAATGAACATGATCATGTTCACTCAATAAATCTCAGGCCCGGTGCTTTTTGAGCACAAATCAGTGAAATGTTAAAGCCCACCTGTCTGTCTCCATCAGTCATTTCCACTGTCACCTCCCCACCGTCTGATGGATCACAGTTGCTGCAAAATTAGACAGCCTTGAATCTCATTTCTTTCCAATTGGCCTCTCTCTGCAATCTCACTCTAGCTGGCTGACATGTGCCGGTCCTCTATGGGAGGGAAGTCTCAGATAGGAACTAATACTACATACACTAAACACAGCTTTATCTCAAACGAGGGGATTAGGTTGCCTGCCTCCAGTGCACCTCAAAGACGAGTGCCATACGACTGCCAAATTCCCTTACATGCTATTTACATTATCATTCAGTCAGCAGTATATAGGACATGGATGGGCGGCTTTTTATTTGATGTCTAGTGACTTGTACTCATACTAAAAATCATCTCGTACCCATGTGAGAAGAAGATTATTGCTTTACAATATGTCACAGACCACAGTATCTAGAGTACTGCGGTGGGTTTTGGGACATTTGGGATATACTGTAGGTGAACGGTGAGATAATTACAGTAGCAGGGTATAATAACTGGAATTACTATGCTAATCTTGTGCACTGAAAAATAAATGCATTAATTATTTTTCCTTCTACAGTATTTATACCTGAGAAAGTGAATCCGATTAACCTATTTGTGCCCTTTTAACCCAAATTGTCCACTAACCCAAGAGTGTGAAAAGCCATAGGAGGGCAGGATGAGCACGTCCTCTATGAGATGGACGCCATCACTCCGGTCTACAGTGAGCTCTAGGGCTCACTAGAGGGAGTCAGAAACCTCTGCATAGAGGCACAGTCAGGGTCGGTTGAATGACTCCACAGCTAATGCACCACTGCTGCTCCATCTCTGATGTGCCTTTAACACCGCTACAATTGCATCCCACTGAGCTGAATTCCTTTGTTCTAGGCCATGCTGCATGGACACCATACATGCAGCATGGAGATCCAGATTTTAATATTAGGTTGGTTTAAAGAAGAAGAAAAGAACAACCTAGCATTGTGGCTGAATCTGTGCCTGCCTTTGTCTTGCATTGGTCCACGCTGCTGTGGGTACACTAGATGGCAAACTTTACACTGGAATCACCGAGCAGTGTGTACATCAGATACACTGAAAGAGATCAGATTCTTCCCAAATTGTGTTGATGAATGTCTTAATCAAAGGCTGTCCCTCTCAGGTTTCGGCTCATTGAAAAGTTATGATTGAATGTTAATAATCTTCTATTCCACATCCATTGTGAGGAGGCTACATCAGGTGGTCACTGATGTGTTAAGGGGATGATTTTGCAGTTTTGTCCTTCCACTTGGCCACGGACCATTTGAGTGTTAACTTTTTTAGTTCTGAGTGATGGAAATCCCTATTGACCTTTTGCCTGGTGCAGTTTGTACCAGTGAGTGAGAGTTTAATGACAAAAACAACAACAACAAAAACAACATAAACAGCGCGCTTCAGGCTGTTGTGTATGCAAGGCTCCTTCAGTTAAAAAAAAAAAAAAGCTCTAATAGGTTTGGACAAACATGAGCTAAAACATCAGACTGCTGCCAGGAAATGTTATGATTTGAGCAGAGGAAGAAACCATGTCGGAGACTGCTGGTGATTTTAAGACCCGACAGCAAAAGCATAAAACCAGATTTATTCAAATTTGAACCATAAAGGGAGAACATAAACTGCACAGGGCCGAGCTGACAGAAAGCAGACCTATAGCTAATATATATGAATGGATAGGTGATCCTGAGATATGACTGCAACCAAAACACAGGACAAAAACTCAATATGTCCAGCAATGATGGGGCAAAGGAGAAACGCGGTCTCTCATTAGCTCTTTTTTTGACCTTTGCAATATGGCAACAATATAGTAGTGAGCCTTAAAAAGGTCAGGGAAGACAGAGAGAGAGAGAGAGAAGAGCATAGTGCACTCTACAGCGGAGAGTGCAGCAGGGATGTGTTTGAAATCTCACAAAGGTTTTCTAGGAAATTATCACAATTTGCCTTCATTATAATATTAAAAAATAAGATAAAATGAGATAAAATCTATTTTTGCTTTTGTTTCCATTGTTGTCCCTGTTACCTAAGAATGGTTGACATCAACATTTAAGCTGCAGTGTTCCACTAACCCCTCTGTGCTATTTATTCACCTTAAGTAAACCCAATATCAACAGCGACACCAGGTCAACAGGCTAAACTGCCACGTCGTGTATTACCATGTGTGGGTTAATTCAGTGTTATGAGTTGATCAATATGAACGAGTAATCACGCTGCATTTAAAAGTAATTGGGAAAAGATGTCACTCCTTAACGTTCAGACTCAGCCACAATAGATCATTAGATTCAAGTAAATCTCATCGTGCATCCTGCCAGCACATATCAGCAAAAAAACAAGGGAAAGCATGCATGACGCTCCACAGTGCTGTGAAGTCACGCTCTGATTAAAAACTTATATTAAAAGTGATAGTGACACATTATTACCTGAAGGATTTAGGGAACTCTTGTCCCTCATTTTTGGTGAAAATTAACCAGTGTTAAAGTCATCCAAAGGAACAACTATTTCTCATCATAAAAGCCAGTAACACGGGATGCCTCAGGTAATAAATAAATAAATAAATGTAAAAAAATATATAAATTTTTTTAAATCGCAGCCTTTCTACTCACTTGTGAGGATCTTCCATGTCTTTTTCTCATCGTCATAGTACTGGACCAAATTACTGGGGAGACGATCAGGTCCAGGAGGCAAACCACCCACCAGTAACAGCATCCTCTTATTGGAACGGATTCTGCAATGTCAAAAGTGTGGGTGTGCGGACAAGTGTTCAATAACATGCAATAAAAGACATATTAAGGCCTGGAATAAAACATGCAAACACAAAAACACAAGCACAGCTTCAACCTGACACCTTTAATTCCTTGATTTACTACGACGATATTAACAGAGCTTCCCTGGAGTATTTTTATTTTTCACTTTGCTGATGCTGATTGTATGAATGAATTAATCTGTGAATAAAATAAAGAATAAATGCACAGCTAGATGAATAACTGCTTCTTATCCAAGTACTTCTACTAAACTCAAGATTGCTAATCAGGAAATATGCGACCACATTTATTGTGATTAATAAAAATTGCTCAATCGTTTTGATGTGTTATTGGATCGTTATTGCACTCTAAAGATATCTTTTCAATTAGCTGTGAAGCGAGGACAGTCCTGTAGGGTGCCATGCTGGAGGCTAAAAGCACAATTGAGAACATAAACCTGCCTATACAATGTCTCCATTTCATTGGCTACAGTGATTCATGTGACATGCCTTAGCCAATTGTTGGAAATTTCCTGCTGTTTGTATATGATATATAACCTCAAAGCCGTGCACTTTACTGCACATCAATGACCATTATCTGGCTCCTAATGGATTTCAACACAAATCTACCAATTTATCACAATATGCACTAAAACATTAAGAGTAGCTGGCCTTTAGATTCAGACACATTCACCTTTTTCCCTTTCCCATATTTTACTTTTTTATGCTTGGGTAAGTCACCGTCGCCTCGGTGTATTCTCCCTCATGCTGGCCCAATCGGAAGTGTTTTAGGGTTATTCATATGCAAATGAGCCCCTGGACATAGATAATGGTGATTAATTGAGGGGAGAGAAACAGTGGCATGTGAAACTAATTATGAGGATTCCTGAATCTTTGCTCGTTTAGGTCCATATGTGGGATCAGATATATTATTGGGATAATGTACAAGTAGGTACTTGTAGAATGGTTTTATGTCCTGATTATTTCAGTAATTTCCAAATGTTTTCATAAAGTTTAGATTCTCTCATGTCACAATTTTTTTAGTTGTTTTTCCCCAAGGCTCACAAGTGTAGTGATAAAAAAAAAACAACAACAACAACAACAACTGAATATTGATACTATCGATTAAAAAAAAAAAAGTCTCAGCTGTCTGACTGTGATCAGTTGTCACCATAAGAGACAATAGCCATGTACTAACCAGCCCTAAAAGTGCAGATCAGGACAAACATGAAAGTAAGCCATGTTTTTGTGTGAGTGAGACACGTGCATGCAACACGAATGTAAGCAGCATTGTCCAATTCATGAAAAGGAATTCTAAAGATCAAATCAAATTTAAAAAACAACAAAAAACATTTTTGAATGTATTATATTTGTCTTCATTGTAATATCAGTAACAGGGCATCTCTGTACTTGGATCATAAGCATCTTGCAATTACCATTTAATTCTGGTCACAATTCAATTACAGCATTTCAAATTGTATTCAAGAGAGTTGCTACAAATCAAATGCATAACCTTTATCTAGATTGTAGCAATCTTGTCTACACTGATTAGAGAGTAATTGCACAGATGTGTGAGGAAATAAAGACATGTTTTCTTTTGTAAAACAGGAGGGAACATTGTAATGATGGATACAGTGGAGCACAGAGTGCATCACGACCTCTGGCAGCAGGTATTATGTTACAGGAGCACCAAAATCCTCATGAACTAGTCCTGAAATGCCACACTGCCTACATGGTCTACACCGACCACCTACATGCTCTACATTAAACAGGCGGTGGGATCAATACATGAGCAAGTGCATAATGCTTGTGTCTGTAATTTGTTCAAATTTAACAAGTGGGAGGCATTTAATTACCCACTGCCCAGTCTCAAACAGCTCTGTGGTGTGATTGTGTGAATTTATGTCTGAGTGTTTATCTGTCTCGTTCTCACCTGCTGGCCATGGTCTGCCTGCAGTGCTGCCTGAAGGGCATCAGGTGGTAGTTCATGGCATCCAGGAGTAGTTTCTGGCACACAGGGTCAGTCCTCATGAAGTCAACAGACTGAACTCTCTCCACCAACTCTGGGGCAGGTATAAGGGCAAAGCGTAGCCTCTTCATAAGGTCCGGTGCATAGTGCATGCGAGTCTCCCGGTCATGCTCCAGCCAGAGGACTGACATCTGGAAGAGAGCCAGCTCTGACTCCACTGGGGGTGGCAGAGCATCTAGCATGGCACACATCTCCTCAAAGTTCAACAGCAGCACATCCTCCACCAGGTACTTGTTGGCCAGCTTCTTGGTCTCATCCAGTCCATGGAGTGCAGCAATCTTGCAGATCTGCTTGTAGTTCTGCACAGAGATCTGGTCATTAAGGAACTGCACGCTAAGCTTGGTAATCTGGGGGATATTGAGGATCTTGCTGACTGACAGCACCTCTTCCACTGTGTCCAGGGAAAGAGTAACATTGGCAGTATACAGGTACTCCAGCACTAATCGTAGTCCAATGGAGGAGCAGCCCTGGAGCACTAGGTTATTTATGGGCCTGGTGCTGGTGGTCACCAGCTTGTCATCGGGAGAGGATGAAGGGGTCCCACTGCTGCCCTGGTCCCCTTTGCTTCCTTCATTGTTGATTACATTATGGGAGGAAAAGAGGGATCTGAAATACTGGGAGCAAGATGCCAACACAGCTTTGTGGCAGTGGAACTGCTGTCCCTGGGCTGTCAGAGTCACATCACAGAAAAGCTGCTTTCGCCACAAGAGATTGAGCCCATGCAGCAGGGTGTCACTGTGTGTTGGGTCAAAGGTGGATGTTCTATCACCCGATCTGGACATGACTTCCTGAATGTGAACGCCACCTAGGCAACAAATAAACCATGCAAGCCATTTACCTCAGGTCATTTATTTCCACAACACACGTTGCCTATACATCGCTATCAGTCAACTATTACAGCAGAAAACGATTTCTCGAATAAGTTATTGAACAGATCGCCCGTCCATCCAGCGGGGAAGAGCCGTCATGCCACGCCAGCCGGCGACAATCTACATCCAGCACGGCTTCATTCGCCTTCAACTTTGAGCTCTGGTCGTAAAGCAACAAACAAAAACGCAGCAGTTCCCACAGCGTGCCACTCTTATTCATTCTTAACTCAAGAAGCGGATGGTTTTAAATGGAGGCTGATGTTTGAAGGGCGCTGTCAAAACAAAAAAAAAAAGAAAAGAAAAAAAATCGGAGGATACGGAGATGCTGCGGCGCTTTCCCCCCTCGGTAACGCGGCTGAAGTTGTCGGATAAGGAAAAAAGAGGCAGCCGCTACGGTGGACGGATAACATGCAGCATTCAGCCAACACTTATCCCTTCTCCTGCCTTGCTGCACACCCCCACAATGAGGACATTACACATCGCACAGATTTACGGAGTCATACAAAAGCAATTAGTTTGTCTCCGAGCCGTCAGCAGCGGTACGGGTGCGTTTTGCTTTTTTAGCCTACCTGAGTTAAGCGGACGTGAGTATCGACAAAATATTTACTGAAATGCAGCTTTCGCTAAAGTTAAATGGGATGTGCATATCTTTTTCATACTTAGACTGTTACAAAAGCTATTTCCATGTGCGTAATGTGTGTAAACTTGACACAAGCGTGCCGTAACCGTTGTCGCCAGATTCTCTAAAAGCGCCTGTCACAACTAAATGATGTGAGCAGCTTGCCTGAGAAGGAGCCAAACTTACCTGACTTCAGCTCTTGACCAAAAAAAAGGAAAGTAAGCTTCGGGTTCCCAATAATCTCACTTGAATTTTCCTTTGTTCTCCTTTTAAGAAATGTCCTTTTTCCTTTAAAGTCTATGGCGTCTCAAAATAACCATTGATTCCAACTCATAAAGTCACTATTTCGGGTTATTTGTTGACGTTGATCATTTGTTCTTCTGAATTAACAAGAAGTGTGTGAGTGTGTGAGAGGGAGCTGTGCTTTCTGCAAGAGAAGAAGAAGAAGAAATATACGTGTGACAAATTATGCTACCAAGAAACAACACATCATTATCCTTGGGCCTGGGGCTCAGTGAGTCGTAACGAGAGTAATAGGAAATCCACGGTTGGGGAGAGAAACGGTCGTGCATGGCCGGTGGAGAGAGACCATGCAGGGGTATGGATGCTGGAGAGACTCGCAAAATTATGGCTCAAGGCTATTGTAAAAACTGTCGAGCGTAAATGACTGCGATTTCAAACATCTATGGAAGAAAGAAAAGAGAAAGGGGGAGAAAAACCGAGTCTTTCCCTCGCTGTTATAGAGAGAACCGTCAAGTTTTAGTGCGCATTGCTAATTAGTCAATTTCTCTCTGCCTTCACAGCCCGACGACTTTGCTGCTGAGCTGAAACTGCTAATTTCTGGGACCAGCCTTTTTTTGGCTGTGAACTGGATGGATGAATGGCTTGTCTCGCACAAATGACAAAAAGCCCCTGCCTTAATCTCCATCGCCAAAATAACCCCTCATCTCATTCTGCTCCTACTAGTCCTTCAAAAGAAGGTGCTCTACACAAACTGAAGTTATACATCTGTATAATAAACAGCACCCACCTCAATGTACAGACAACTGTGCAGACTTTTATCATGTTTAATTAAAAGCAGATAATACCCTCCTTTTTTCTACATTTTAGTGTGACACTGAAGCAGCACTATGAAATGCCACACATGTACAGAAGGGACATAAAGTAAAAAAAAAACAACAAGCACAAATAAAGAACATATATATTGTTTTCATTCATTATTACCATGTCTGATCAGTTCATTGTTAAAAACATAAGGCTTGAAAACACAAAGGGCTGTAACCTAATACAGTGTCCATTAGTGCACAGTAGTCCTGCTGGAGTATTTATATCCATACACCTGCATTTTTGCCCCCAGAGATCCTCCAAGAGTATAAGATCAAAGTGAATCCACTAAAGGAAGTGGCTTGATGAATCACATAGTAAAACTCCTGGTTGGGAATGCTCATATGAACTTATGGATTGCACCAAACACTCTGTCACCACCACAACAAACTAACAGCTGTGAGGCACTAAGTAGTTCCATTGCTAAATTATTAATCTGTCAAATCACTTTGGTATAGCTGCATACAGTTCAACAACAACGAGAGCTTTCAAAAACTCAGAAACATCTCATCTCAAAATTAGGATTCCTTCATTTACCCCCATCACATGAATATAAGGTGATATAATCACCTCAAAAAGCAAACAAAATGCTCACACAGCTAATCAGAAACCGTTAGAAAGGATTTATTAGGCCAGAATAAACTGTCAATTACATAAAGAGCTCAATTAGAGTAAATACACTTACATGTAGGACTCCCATGGGACCAGAAGTGACAGGTACTTCACAACTTAAGAAATGACAGATAGGGATAAATGGCTTTGTTCATATACTATGAAAGAGAGCACCGCCATGCTACCGTCAAGCAATAGCGGACCATACATTGGTAGCATTTATAATAAGAAGGCACCACAATGCTGTTTTGATGTTCAAGTGTTTGACAAGCACACAGCCTGCTAATCCCCAACTTGTAGTTATGCCGAGGAAATTCATTCTACATGAACTCTGCGGTGATGACTGATTAGATTGTGCGCTGCATCTCAAATAATCATCGTCACCGAAGGAAAACTATACTACTCTAATATTAATTAGCGGTTTGAAACCACTATGAAAGCACTTTGTTTTACTGTTTACCACGATTATTTCGTTACCTCATTTCCAGAGGTCTTGACACTGCACAGCACTACAGTAATTCACTGTATTTCACTTTGGAGTCACATATTGTTATCTTTACCAGCACACAGTTAGCACTACATTACCCAAGTCTCGAGCGAGCTATTCTAACGCAATAAAATGACCATTTCCAACTCTTTCAGCTCTTTGTAGCAACTCAGTCTCCTGAGGCCACTGGTCTTCAGATTGCAGGGCGTTTATGGTTGTAAGTTGTTGCAGTGTGCAGAGGGGGGGGGGGGGGGTGATCAGATAAGAGAAGAATTTCTAGACTAATTAAACCCTTTGAGACAAAGAATCACACTACAGTGATTTACAACTCTCTGTACCAGTTAACCCGACTCATTTCTTTCTGTCATATTACTCAGATAGCATATCTACCTCTATGGGTAAAAAGTCTTTTCTTTTTTTTTTGTCTTCAACGTTATGAAAAAAGGAGGGGTGTTAGTGTAAATAACCGCAGTTAGATCAGATTTAAATACTGCAGTATACTCATAATATAAGCTTTTAAGAGCAGACAAAGCTCCCAGCCACTGACCATCTACTCTGTTCGGTGAATAAGCCCCTGATTTTACCCCCAGATACTACGCATCTTCATATGTAATGCTTGCATTATATCATGCTTCCTTATTATTTCCTTCAGCATAATTTTATGCCCATTACAACACATAAAAATGAAGCAAAACACAAACTGTCAGCATTATCGTGGCCTTGGGTAACTGATTAAAGAGCGAACATTTAATCTAATCAGTGCAATGAAACAAAACAACAGGAGAAGCTCCAAAGTTGTGAATAGTAAAGTCTACCAGGCATAATTCCTTTTGCTGGCTGTTGCAGAGGGGTATGCTAAGATAGAAAGTATTATTTTCCTAAATGGAAGGTGTCAGATGGTCACGGAAATGTGATCGGCTGTTCAAGATCACTGCTTCCCATCTGCAATTTGTGACGTGTGAAAGATTCAGCCCAAATGTGCTCACCAAGCGTAAATCCTCAGCACTTTCTCTTATCGTGGAAAAGCAAGATAACCAGCTGTTTACAGATCAGAGAACATATCATATTAATATCATGGAGAGGGTGATATCATCTTGTTTGTAAAATATTTTGTTAACTAAGTGTGGTGTGGTATGGCAACCTATAAAGTGAAAGTTGTAATTTGTGTTTTAGCAAAAGTGCTGCAGTTTAAAGCCCCTTTTTAATGATAAAAAAATATATATTAAAAGGAGGAAAGCTGAAAATGCTGCGGGGAGCCTCTTCAGAAACACTTTGGTGAGACAAAATTAATGCAAACTGCATGTTACAGTAAATACTCATTACAAGGCTCTTAGAAGTTACATTTAAAGATCCCCCCTTAGTTCCAGTTAACTGTATGTATGAACACAAGCAGGGCTCTCTTTATGCCTCCCTCTCGATTCTTGGAAGAGTTTACAGTTGTGTGGAATTATTTTGCACCATTTTTGTATTTGGAAACCAAACCGTATACTATACTATAGAGAGATTAGTTCTAAAAAAAAAAATGTAGCATTGGCATTAAAGGAACAGGCTGCTTAATCAGAGGTAGTTGTTATAATTGTACAAATGGAAGAAAGGGTCATCAAAAGTGCAATATTTGTAGTAGCAGGTTCAGTTTATTTCGATTAATTGTAAAATCTCAACCCATCCAGTTTTCTGTTTCCTGTTTTTTTTAGCACTTTTTTTGGATATCAGGACTGATTAGCACATGTTTGTCATTTCAGATCAAAGTTAGTCAGAGATGATTCATAAAATGTCCACTGTGTAATAAATTGGAAGCACTTATATTTGCCATTCAGGGAGTATTGGGAGGCCTGCTGTTTTAAACCCCTAGATCCCCACACATGGCGTAGCCACCACAGACACGGCTCAGAGAGTCAGTCGGCAGCCGGGAGGTGAGCAGAAAGGAACAGGCGGTGTCCCCTCCAGAGTGAGCACAGGAGAGTGTGTGTGTGTGTGTGTGTGTGTGTGTATGTGTGCGTGTGCACAATATGTGTGTGTGTTGTGGCATTCTCAAATGACAAAAGGATACCAGTTGTGCAGTTCAGGTGGGACGACACACGGAGGTGGTATGGAGACTCACCTGAGGGAGAGTCTGGGCTGCTGGGACCGGGGCTGTAATGGAGACCCAAAGTTGTGTATAGGGGCCGCAGGAGGCCACTGTGCCGTGGAGAAGGTTTGGGGGCTGGAGGAGAGGGGGCTGCTGTTGTGCAGTCTCCCCAGCGTGATGCATCTACCTTCAGGGTGGCAGCAGGCGTGGAGTGGGGTGCGATGGAGCGAACACGGGCTCAGTGGCGCGGTCACCTAGGGACGCTGAAGCTGCTGTAGCAGGACTGATAGTTATTCCTTGGGAGAATTGCAAGATGAGCCCCATTGTATTAGCAACCCCTCTTCTACTAGAATTGTATCAATGTTCTCAAACCTTTAAAGAATGAAGTCAGGGTGCAAAATATCTGACACTTAACGTTTTTTGCCGTTCACCAAAAGAAACTTAATTCTTGGACAAACAAAACAAAAAAAAAGTAGGACGGAGTAAACAGTTTCCCTCACAATCGGAGCCGTTTCATTGTGTATCAGAATGACTGCTGTCAGAGTTAAACTTCAGTAAATTCCTTTGGCAATGAGAAGCTGGTAAATTATTCCATACTGATTTGAAATTCTCACACATTAAGCTTTTTAATTTCCAAGCAGTACTTTTGTGTTGCAACAGTTTGAGTCGTATCTTTTAGAAATTCTCTGTGTCTAATATGGTCAGCACTCCCAATTATTCACTCCACTGACAAGTGAAACAAATGGGACCAACCAGTGCATTCTGTATTATCTACACCCCTTGGATTCCCTGACAATAATTAATACAATGGCAAGCTGCTGTTACCAGCCTTGACGACATGAGCTCAACAACATAAGCTCTCCCTTTCCAAGAGCTCTTGAAAAGAAATTACATCCAGCGGTGAGGTCATATATATATATCGTGGACACAAGCAGCCGGGAGGTTATGTCATGTTACTGTCTGGGACCCTAGATCAGATGGTACTGTTAACATCAGCAGGTCATTATTCACATCATTACACCATGAATGAAAGGTGCGTGGAATATGTCAGGAATATATGAATGTAGCCCTGAACATAGAGATATACACAGCCTTTAATAGCAAAGACTGTCCCATATGTCAGCGAAGTTCATTAACATGCTACATGATCTTACTGAGGCAGCAGTGCTGACCATCTCACTGGTATGGTCACACACCATTATGTAGGGTTACTTCATTTGCTCATAATGCGGATAAACATGGGAGGAAAAAGCACCTTAATATATACACAGCATACAGTGAATCTAAGTAGTGTTAGGCAAACTGGTTCCATGATTTAAATAAAACTAAATAAAAGCAGATACAGTTTTGTTTTGTGTAATAGCCAACTGACCAATGTGTCCTTTTAAAGAGGTGTCACGCAATCATACTAACCCCTCTTATTTTAGCCTACGAGGATATTAACAGGTTTTTTTAATTATAGAGGAGCACTTTGCCTCAACATCCATTAAAGGAATGCCGTGCTAATTTTAAATCCTCGCAGCAGGCATTTGCATCAACAGAAGAAAAGTGGATGAGTTTCTCTTTAACAGCTGTAATTTGTGTTTTCCAATCACCATGCTGATTTCTGCTCATTATACTCCGGTTTCACACCGGTAAGTGAGCAAAGTTTGGATTGATTGACTCTAATTAACTAAAAAATGTTCCAAGCCATGGATTTATTATCATGCTAGCTAGCCACAAATGTCAGAGACTTTCACAAATTATTATCCTCTTAAGATAAATATCTTTGAAATCAAATGAGTGTGGAAACGCGAGGAACATGTATTGTTATACTGATGAATTTGTTTGTCATGTTTTTCTGCTGAGCTCCACATTAAAGACTCACCTGGGCAATCACACTGTTCCAGTGTATTGTTAAGCGGTACTGTATGACTGAATGACAGATGCTGTAGTTACCTAAACTTTAAAGGAACACACACTCAAGTCAGATGAATAAAAATCAGACGATTATATAGTAATATAAAAGAAAATCTTCCCAGATTACAGTGTTATCAGCACTGACCAAATAGGGTGTACCAGGGTGCACTTTCATGTTATACTACCGAAAACCTATTTCCTCTCGTGTGCTCCAAAACTTGGCAGCATCTCCCTCATTGATATTTTAGACACAGTAGCACCTTTCTCAACTCACATTCTTTCCTCGACTCCATCGGCTCCATGGCTCAACTCTCCACTTTCTCATGAACAAAGAGAGGACGGTTTGAGAGGACGCCTCAGTTTTCCTGGTTTTAAAAAGATCTCAGAGCAGAATTTTGGTTAGCTTAAGAAGACAGAACGTTGCTCTGATTCACTCGGCTTCACTCCAGTGATCAGAAGTGATTACTGAAGTGAATCCAAATGAAACGGGCCCATCGTCTGCACGGTGGCGCCAGGCAGAAATTGAGAATCATGCTGCCTGTAAATCAGATTTTCTCAACATGCCTCTTGCAAAATATGCCTTGATACAAAAGTACAAAAAAATCTTCCAAACCAGCTTTGAGGTATCAGAGTATGCAACAGCACAGCGAGGCATGTGCTGTATGTTTTATCCTCATCATACTGAAACAAGCATGTAATGCCCCTCAGCTGTCAAGTACACCCCCCCATTAGTATTTCCACAGTCCATCCTCTTTAGAGTAGCAGCATTAAGGTGTGTGCACTTTGAGGCACGCCCGCAGATAGATGTGATGACATCTAGTTGTGGCTCACTTTCATTTATTTAAGGGATTGATTAGATGCAAGGAGAGCAGATAAATGTGCTGGAGAGGCACCTTCATTTGAGAAATTGCCATATAGTCAGTACAGAATATGAGACGGACTGAACATTTTTCTCTTCAAGATGCTTTTAGGGAGCTAGTGGCGTCGTGGCTTTGCGAGCAGTCGACCAAGTTAGTGTCATGCTGAATGTTTGTTCTATAGTATACAGTTGGCCCAAAAACCTATGTAAAGAAACTTTACCAAATATCTGAAAAAATCTTTTTTTTTCCCCACATGAGAGATAATGTGTCAGTTTGATTTAAATATATATATTTTTACTTGTTTTATTTTGTTTTTTTCAAGCCGTCTTAGTTTGAGATGTTATGCTTAGTGTTATAACATGATACTGAGACATGTTTCAGTCAGTTATTTGCTAAGGTTGTTGTGTCCATACTGCCCCCTTCTGTCTCCTCTAGTATGGAAGGCATCTGTTGTTATCAACAAAACAACAGCATCTCTATCAACTCAGAAGGAAAGGGTAACATATTTTCCAAGGAGTAGTCTAACAGCATTAACCTTGACGCTACTAAAATTCTAATGAGCATAAACATAATTTGTACAATTTAGATTAATATATAAACATTGTTTGTTTTTTAACTTCTTTTCATTCTCGTGGAAATGATAAATATCTAGGGATTTCGCACTTTAGCATTTATACAGAGCAGACTTTGTGTTGTTTACCACTAGTATGACATTGTTTAAACATGATGAAAGAAAAATCAATTTTCTACAAGTACTAAATGTGATTCAGTTAAGATTCCAAATTGAAAACAGTGTTTCCCCAGGGTTCTTTAGAAAGCCAGTGGATAGTGCACACACAACATCCTTTTGTGCACACTATTTACCCCTGGATTGCTCCAGGCTAATGTCTCAATAATTTTCACTCCTTTCTCAGGTCCTTCCCACAAAGGACTTAACTAATGATCCATGGACAAAATGAAGCATTTAAATTTATTCATTAATCATTCATCTCCAGCTCATTGAAAATGCTAAACTTCCACAAAATTAAGATTGAATATTGAAAAGTGATTGAGGGAGACAGCTTTCAGTGAGTGAAGAGAGCAGAAGAGTGTGGGCTGCAATAACAAAAAATAGATTCTTTGGAGAGACGACGGGCTTCGCATGGGCATGGTCAAGGTGGCCAAGGTGTACTAAGTGCTAGTTAAGGTCATGGGGTTTCACTAGTTGTAATTAGATCTTGGGATCTGGAGAAGCGTAGAATTTCTGTCAACACTGCCTGTAATTATTCTCTTTTCCAATTAATGGTGACATAGATTAATTATCTGATGAGGCAAAGCCAATTGCAATCATTCACCCAGCTAAAATTAGATCAGTCCTGACAGCAGCATGAAAGTCACCTGTTTCATTGTTATGGATTTGCTGCAAGTAAAGAGGGGGGAATAGTGAAGCGTGCTAGGGTAAGTAAGTTGTCTGGTACAGGTGAATGTCCAATTACACTGCTATTTGAACTGAAGGCATCTACTCATTGGATCCAGCGGCATCTGGATTGGCTTGTTTGTTCACCCCGTAGCATCATCAGCGGTAGTAGAGTCATCTGTCAAGGATTGTAGGAAGGCTGAGATAAGTTCGCTTTCCTCTGACATCTCCTCCTGTTGAAATAAGGCACAAACAGAATAAATGAAAACAGGCTAATTAGGAAAATGCTGCTTTTGTAGAAAGGCACCAATAAAGCATCTTCGTTTCATGTGTCTCCTGCGCACACAGTTGACGTGTCTGCAGCTGCGAGAGTAAAGTTACCGTCTTGTTCTTATTTTTCGTCAGGAAGGAGAACAAGAGGCTCCTGGTGAACCGCGTCCAGGTTCAGTGCTCTTCTGTTTTAAAAACCTCAGCATCCAGTTTTTCTATTAAACTGCCTGGCACTGTCAACCAGCTTGGGAATCTGAACCAGCCTAGCCATGCAGAAATTCTCTGACTAACAATTATATCAGAAACAGGATCTTGGATTACTGTCCCCTGGGACTGGGGCAGTGGGCGTCTGCTCCAATCATTACTGGCCATTCAACAAGGCTCTGCACTGCTCTCCGCTGTTAGCCATTGTCAATTATGCCATCCCCAGTGTAAACTCGCAGAACACAAAGCTGAACTGCCAGTTCTGGCAGGAGTGTAACAGGATGACAGCCCGCCACCCCACCCTCCCTACTCCTACAACACCCCCCTCCCCCACCCACTCCTACACACCCACCCTAGGGTTCCTTGGCCTCCCTTCCCTCAAGCTACTTTTGAACAAACTGCCATTTGGCTTCTTATTCCAGCACTATAACTGTGAAAGCGTTAACCTGACCTCTCTTATGTTCTGCTCGTGGGGTTAAGTGGACATGATGGATTAGCACAGGCCTCATCAGGATTCAGCCTGGTTTCACTGCAGTTACAACCAATGTCAGTTTTATTGATTCCTTTATTTCTATTAAACTGCCAGTTGATATTGATAAACTTTGACCCTGTCAGAAATACTAATTGTGTTATAGGAATTGTGAAGGTTTTAATATTTGGATAGGTGAAGTGATTATGCCTGCTCGTAATCTCATAAGGCATTTAAAGTTGAGCTCAAAAGGGCTTTATTTTGTTTTTTTGTTCCATGTGTACTTTTTGGAGGATAGAGCCTGAGCTGGACTCTTCATCAGGAGCCTGTTTAAAGTGAGTGCTGCCTGCTCTGATGGACCCTGTGCTGAGCTGTGACGGGTGACGGTGTGGTGCGCTTGAATACACCAGCTCTTTTGTCCTTCACACTCTGCAGCTCTCTGATAGCTCCTCCCCCTGTGCCCCACTCCTCCCTGCCTTGAGCTGTGATCTGCTGGGGCCTTTTGAGGCTGGGCCGCTGAGACATGGCTGCTTCCAGTAATGTCTGGACCAGAACCCATCGAAAAGAAAAAAAATCTATATGTCAAGCAGTCAGAGGAGGAGAAACTGAGAAGGAAACCACCTGATAGCACTTTACTAGGTATCCTCCTGGAAAGCCTCCAATCAAAATCAGAGCGTATTTTGCCTGCAGCGTGTCTGCTAAATTTGTTGTTGGATCAAATTAAGCGACAAAAACAAAATAAGAATTTTACACAAAAACAACAGCTTGCAACTGCCAAATATGGCTGTCGAGGGATTTAGGATATCCTACTGCCTAAGTAAAAGGAAGTGAAAAAGTGGAAGTAGTTCATACTATGGTTGCATGCCACCTGGCTCTGCAGTAATACTGGACAGGACATTTCATAAAGATTCATCACTGTCCCTCTGTCCGCTTTGACCTCATCGCACATCACAGCACAGATTAGACACCGATTATCCTCTAATTGAAGATCCTTACTTTTCAACCTTGCAGAATATGCTCCAACTCTTCGGCGAGACAGACAGAAGGTTATACTATTCACAAAAAAAGCTGTAAGGCATGGACATCTTCCATGTGTTGTAATGAACTCTGAATTAGATGCAAAGTGTAAAAAAAGAAAAAGAAAGAAAAAACAAAAACGGGCTCGAATCTTAATGCAATGTGACAACACATGTACACAGACAAAAAAGAGAGGCAGAGCTAGCCTTAGACACAGGGTCACCCAGAAGGCACCGTAGCACATGCACATCATCCATCACATCAGTCTGTGATCTGATAAGTAAATGTACAGACTGCATTGTAAGAGTGGTGTCTTAAACTCCGCCATAGCAGTGACGCACAAAGCCTTGGTGGATGTTTGCCTGGCTGCTCTTGCTTGGCAAAGAAGACACAAGGCAACTGACTAGCCGGATGAGGCTCAAACAATGCCAAGCATAACATGGAGTTACTGTAGTATGCAAAAGAATATGCTGCCATCCGGTAGAATACCTAGACCGGGATGAAAGTTGAATAAAAGGATTTGCCATTTAAATGAATGGTGACAGTCGGTGCAGTTTTCCAGCCTGTTTTACATGTATATGTACAAATACCTGGGCTGTTTTTATTTTCCAGTCGGTCTCTTGAGAAAGAGCCTGGCACCGGTCCAGTTCAGCCTGGCTGTAGAGGCTGCGTTGTTTGAAGTATTTCACCAAAGCTTTGTGCATCCTCTTCTGCAACAAAGAGAGCTAGGGGGAGAGAAGGCAGAGAAAAGGAATTGGTAAGGCAGGAGAGGAAATTAATGGCAGTGTTCAAGAAGAATGATGGAGGGGAATAGAGAAAGCAGTCAATAGCCCATTCTGCAGTACACGGGCCTGACAGGAATTTCACAGTCTCTTGGTTTCTCTGCCCACTCGTGTGCACTCATCAGAATCCAGTCACATCTGGCTGCCAGGATGGGGGGTTAATTTTCTCTAAATGCTTCAGCAGTTTTGTTCTAGCCGAGGCAAACTCTGTGACTGCAAAGCTGATGAGTAAAATATTTCTACTTCACCCAGTTTAACTTTATACCAATCCCCTCAAGACATATTTTACACATACACACAGAGTCATGAACCCCCCACTGAAACCAGAAATTATTCCTAGTCTCTTGGAAAGACATGCTGCTTGCTTTATTATTTGAACACAGTTTCAAGCAAAGAGGTTTAAATTCTGATAGATGCCATTGCTTTTCTTCCCCCTCCATCTCTCTACTCTTCCTACAAAGCTTATCATTGCTTGGCAATGTGTTCCCCAGTGCATTGAAAACTAAAGCGAATTAGCTCAGTCATCAGCTCCTGAAGAAAAGACAATAACAAGAATGCTCTTTATGGTGTACCCTGTTAAAACCCAGGAGCTGAAAGCCTCTACATAAACAACGCTGTGCTTACATGTACAGTAGATTCAAAAGGATATTGATAACAGAGATGCTGGGACATGCTATAAGATGTTAATTAATCATGTATCTTTTAATATACAACTGCAAATTAGGAATACTTGAATGTCTTTACACTTTTTCATGAGCATTCTAATGTAAATACATTTGACATGACGAAATTTCTGTCTTTAAAAGAAAAACTACCAACTCTTATATTAGATTAATTAAATGAGTCTTCATTAGTCAGTTAATAAATATAATTCACTTTTCATACCACATATGTGCTTTATTTTGTGTTGTGAGACTGACTGTAATAGTTAAAATCTAGAATATTTTTGCATCTGTACTGGTGTTAAAGCAATATGATTATTTAGCTCAGAAAGTTACACGTTTATATGCCTAATAATTTCTCCAATTTAGGCTTTAACCTGTCTTGATTGACAATGGCAATAAATTTAATGAATACAGACTCTTTTATTATTGTTATATTATTAATTCAATAATAAAAAAAGAAAGAATCAACATTACGCTAAAAGAACGGTGATCATTTAGTTAAGGAAAACAAATTCAATCCATAATTCATTACAAACAAAGGCCAGGTCTAACTCTTAGGACAAAGTGCTCATCTAGGTAATGGCCCTGTAGTATTAAACGACTATAAATTATTAGGTATATATATATATAAGTAAAATAAAATGGAATAGTAACTTATATTCCACTGCTGACTACTATTAAAGGCAGGTAGTTGTTACCAATTCACTCTATATACAGAAATAAGATTAACACTAAGTGCTTTGTCCAATGAAATATAGTAAAAAGCAGCTTATGAGCTTAATAATGATTATAAACCTGCATTTTACCATGTGACTGCGGAGGGGGGAAAGTGAAAAATTACAATATTTTGCACTTTAACTTTCTTTGTTTTAGCTGTTTTTACATGTATGGCTTTGGATGGACAATGTCGTGGGGAATAACTTCATATTAGCGGTAATCTTTTATATTTGTCCGCATATCTCAGCATATTAAGACATATATATACATATACACACACACATATATATACATATACACACACACATATATATATATA